ATGAGGTGAATGGTTGTACCAGATAGAAATTTCGAGTTGTCACATTCACCTGGAGTCCACTCCTAAGTTAAATTTCAAAGTTGAAGACTGCTATTTTGTGGGATATGTTGGATGCATTGCTTGTCAAGTTTACAACAAATCCACCAAACAGATCCTGGAGTCATTCGATGTGCGCTGGCTAGAAGATAACACGACAGACGCTCGAGTTGGACCAGACTGGTTATTTGACTACACTTCTTTGTTTAAATCATTTAATGTTTTTTCAGATGATGTTTCAGGTTCATACTCAGGTTTGAGTGCAGCTGTTGAAGATGATGAGGAAGATGTTGTCATTAGCTCATTCAAGCCATTTGTGGTGATTCCTCAATCCCCTACAATGGATGCAGCTACACCAAGTACACCTCCTTCCTTACCAGCCTAAAAGTCTAGTTCTGACACCGAAGCCACTCCCCTTACTCCCGAAGAAGCTGGTATTCTCTCAAAAGGCAATGTAACTTCCACACAAACTTTCATGGCATTTCACTTTCCAGAGGCGTTCGCAAATGAATTTGTGCCAAGTACTTCTCATGATCACAGACCGTCTGAAGGGAGTGATTTGTCAGCAGGCAGATTTGACAACATCACAAATCTTCCAGTCACAGTCAATGATATTGGCCATCCAATCCTAACCAGTGTTTAACACGATCATCCTATCCAGAACCTTATTGGTCCACTAGAAAGCAGGGTTCAGACCATAAGTCAAAGTGGATATGTCAACGAGTGTCTTTACTCGTGCTTCATATCCAAAATTGAACTAAAGAATGTGGACATGGCTCTAAATGAACTGAGATAGGTGGATGCAATGCATGAAGAGCTGAATTAGTTCGATAAGTTGAAAGTATGGCAGTTGGTAGAGCTACCGAAGGGTAATAAGTCTTTGGATACACGTTAGGTGTTTAGAAATAAGAATATGATAGCGGCGTGATTGTGCGTAGCAAAGCTCGTTTGGTCGTTCGTGGATTCAGGAAAATAGAGGGTCTTGACTACATCGAAGTGTATGCTCTTGTGGTGCGTTTGGAAGCCATTCGTATATTCTTAGGATACGCTTCCCACATGGGGTTTACGTTTTATCAGATGGATGTCAAGACAACCTTTTTGTACGGAGCCGTGAAGGACGATATTTATGTTGATCAACCACCAGGGTTTGTCAATCCAAAGTTTCCAAATCATTTCTACAAATTGGACAATGATCTATATGGTTTGCATCAGGCTCCTAGAGCTTGGTATGCTACCTTAACTGATCATCTGTTGGAGCACGGGTACACAAGGGGAACGATCGATTAGATGTTATTCATCAAGAAAGTGGATGCAGATTTGATTGTCGTCCAAATCTACGTTGACGACATCATTTCGGGTCGTCCAGCATAGAGCTATGGAAAGAGTTCGAGGAAGTAATGAAGAAAAGATTTGATATGAGCTCGCTGGGTGAAATGACAATGTTTAAAGGGTTACAAGTTCGACAGGATTCGACCAGAATTTTACTACATCAAGGCAAATACGTGGAAGACATGCTAGAAAAGTTCGGGTTTAAAGAATCAAAAATTGCTTCCACTCCAATGGCAGAAAGACCACTGTTGATGCTAGATCCAGAAGGAGAAACCGTAGATCGAAGTGAATATCGATCGATGATCGGATCTCTGATGTATCTGACTGCCAGCAGACCTGACATCATGTTTGCCATCTTTCAATGCGCTTGTTATCAGACTAATCCTAAACTTTCACATTTAATTGTTGTTAAAAGGATTTTTAAGTACCTTAAAGGTAGCCCTAAAATTGGTCTTTGGTATCCTAAAAATCCCGAATTTGATTTGTATGCTTTTGCTGTCCACAACTATGGAGGTTTTGATTTTAACAGGAAATCTACATCGGGTGGATGTCAGTTCTTGGGGGACTGATTGGTGTCATGGCAATGCAAGAAACAACAAACGTTGTCGACCTCGACGACTGAGGCTGAATACGTTGCCGGCTCTGCCTGCTGCTCTCAGGTTATCTGTATTCACCACCAATTGTTGGATTACGGTTTGAATTTTCTTGACACCTCCATTTTCAGTGATAATGATGCGGCCATTCAAATTGCCAAAAATATCGTTCAATATTCAAAAACCAAGCACATCGACATTAAAGTTCATTTTATTCGAGACTGTTATGAGCGTAAGCTCATTCGTTTTGAACAAATTCACATCGATAACAATGTGGCGGATTTGTTCACCAAACCTTTCAATAAGGCTCGTTTCGATGTGCTTGTGAGTTTTCTGAAAATGATTCGTTTCAAAGACTAATTTTTTATTATTTATTTTTTTGTTTAAATTTGCGCATTTATTTTATTTCATTTCTTCCGTATATACAAATTTAGGGGGAGAAATCAAAAATTACAAAAAATTATAAAATAAAAAAAAAGAATTCAAAAAATATGTCTTCTTTCGTAAGTGTTCTTGGGAAGTGATATGAAGTTTAGTGTTAAGGGCAATATGAAATACATGTAATGCACTGAAGCTAAATTGTTTAGACTCTGTGTTCAATGTGCTGGTAGGCACGAAGGATTCAAAATGAAAGGACTAGACACTCTTGACAATGAAAGGACTTGACAGTGTTAACTCATATAGACTTAGATAGTTTCATTTGGACTAACCATACGCCGCTCGGATCGATTGAGCAGTGAGATAAAAAAGGGAGCCTGCGAGATACATTAAAGTTACTTATCATCTAGAACTGTGGCTCAACACTTCTTTGACGTACGGACTTATCTCCTTAATTCTGGTGCTGATGGGGGTGACTGGGGGGTTCTGATAAAGTAGGTCTATATGAAATTGTTTTTCTTTGTTATCCTCTATGTCAGTCATATGTTGCCCCCTTTGTGTGATTGGAAGAGATTCGACCTGGGACGCAACATATGCATATATATTTCTATGTATATCTCTGTCTATGCATCTCTCTATATATCTATGTCAGCCATATATTTTCCCCTTTGCAAGATTGGAAGAGATCCGAACTGGGACACAACATATGCACCTGTCTATCTCTCTATCCCTCCATCTATGTTAGTCATATGTTGCCCCTCTGCGTGATTAGAAGAGATCCGACTTGGGATACAACATATGCATCTCAATATCTATCTTCTCTCTCAAATAATTAACACTCACCTAAAGTAAAGAGATGTTCGGAATTCCTTGATTGCTAGGGTATGTCGTGAAGTGGGGAACATGTTCTAGTGCGCTTAAAATTGAATTGGTGCATGACTAAAGGTTGAATGTAGATCTCGCTGCTGAATTTAAGTGGACAACAATATCCTTGGTAGTCGTCAGCAAAATAGTCTATTTAGGAATATAATTGCAATGTCTTGTTACTTATAATCTATCCAACTTGCAAATATCATTTGTGTTTAAGTGAACCACAATATTGGTGATTGACCAGAGTTATCCATGTAGGTATGTGCTGATAAACGATATTAAACTGCTTGATAAATTTTGATCCCAAAAGTTTTAAATTTAGTTATTAAAATGTGTTTGTTTTATTTTATTTTATTTTAATAAAATTTTTATTTTATTTTTATTTTTATTTTGCATTTAATTTGCATTCATTTCAAATTTTAAATTTTAGTTTATTTTATTTAATTTTTAGTCTAAGAAATGAATTAACGAAATCAATTTTATATGAATTGTTAAATGGATTTTCTTTTGGGGCCCACCGAATTCGGTGGCCTAAGGGCCGAGAACCCATTTAAAGTTTAATAGGGTTTTTTTTGTTTCATTTTCATTTCCACTGCCGAAATCACCTTTCTTCTCTCTAAACCTAAGTGAAAACCCCTTTGTTCACTGTTCATCTGTTCATCTTCAGTCTCGGCTGATATAATCAAATTTCTCTTGATTCTTTGCAATTTTGACTACGTTTGTGGATTTCGAGTAGCATGCTTCAAGTTTTATGTCCTTTCATGGAGTTTTTTTGCAGGTGTTCAAAGGTTTTCCAGCGAGTTAACGGTGGTTTTCCAGCAAAATTGTTGAGGGTTTTAAAATTTCGAAACGTCGGGTTTTCGATTTGACCCGGGTCCGACCGAAATCGATCGAATCCGACCGAAAACAGCTTGATCTAACCGAAAACATCCCTCTTTGACCGAAATCTCAAGTTTGACCGAAATCACTATGTTTTGACCGAAATCACTTACTTTTGATAGAAATCAACCTTTTTGACCAAACTTTGAATTTTTGAGAAAATAAAATTTCAATTTAATTTTTATTATTCTCACTTGGCTCGTTTGGTGAAGATAAATGGCAGATCAGTTGAAGTTTGTTGATTCTCACAATATCGTTGGATATCTCCTGGATCCACCTGCCGCACACAATTAATTCAAATCCATGATCGTGGGTTTTAACAATTGCAGAATTTCCCACGCTCTACGTGTCAATCCAGTCATACACAAGGACCTGATTAATGATTTCTGGAGGAATGCATCACTCAACTGTGCAGGAGTGGATGGTGCTGGTGCTTTTGAATCCTCTGTGAAAGGTAAATAGATTATTATTATAGAGCAAGTCATTCGAGAAGTGCTTCAGTTCGGAGATCAACCTGCTTTCCCAACAGAACTCCCTGCTGCCAAGATCACAGAAGTATTAAAGAAGATGTATTACGAAGGAATTTTCCTCCAACAGTCAAGAAGCTACTTCCCCCTTACTGGATATTTTTGGCCCATACTTTTGTTAGCTGCATCTCTGGAAGAAAGGGTGGGTCGGAGGAGATAAGCCAAACAACAACATCATCCTTTGTAGCACTAACAATGGACTGGGAGTATAATTTCTTAACATTTGTTTTTGGCCGAAATGAGGAGCAACCTTTCTAGGAAAAAGAAGGATATTTTCTTGATGTATCCTCGGTTTTTAAAAATGATCTTTGATGCCATGCATCCCGAGCTGGAAAGGACCCGCAATACTCTTGATGTCAAATCCATGGTTCCAAACTCATTTGGACTCATGAAACAAGTACGGAAAGTGTCAGAGGTTGTTTTCAAGGGAACAGAAGCACTGGTGAAATTTGGAAAATTCCCAGAGACAAAAGGTGTTCAAACTGCTGGTACTCCAATTGCTATGGTGGTCGAGGAACATGTGGGGCCATCAAAATCAAATCTCAGTTTTTCATTTGAGGTTTCTGATGATGATGATTATGTTAATGATGATGATAATGATGATGATGATGATGCTGATGATGATAATGATGATGATGATGAGGATGTTTGTATTTTGAACGATCGAAGGAGCCAGTCAATGAGGCTGTAATTTCTCCAGCTGACATAGAGAAAGAAATCAACATTTTCAAGCAATCAAACGATCCATCGCTCGAACAGATGGAAGCCCTTATCGAACAATTACAGTCAACTACGAGGAAGCCTCCCCAAGAAGTTCCTGTTACTGATGAGTCTCCATCTGGGAGTGATAAAGACGATTCAAATGCCTCTCTGATGCCAAGAAAACGAAGACGTAGAGATCCAAAGCTATGAGTGCTTAGTACTGAACCAGTACAACAACCAACTTCAAATGTGGAATCAGCCCAGGTTAATCAAGTTGATCAAAGCCAAATTGTTGAACCAGCCCAGCCAGCCCAAGTTAATCAAGATGCTCAAAGCCGAATTTTTAATGAAGACTTCTTAGCAAATGAGGAAACTTTTGCCTCGGGAAGCTCTTCTGCCCCACCACCTCCAGAGCACGATTCCGCATCTGTCATGTTAGTCAAGCTACTTGCCTTTCAAGACTCTATTCCTCAGTCAAGAGGAAAGGGAATATATGTTGGCTCAAGGCACGGAGGTGATGAAGACTCTCAACAAACCATTTCTTAGCTCAAACAAGAGATCGTAAGTTGGAAGCAGGAGTCCATTGAGAAAGACTTTCTAATTGGCAATTTGGATGTGAGAGTTTCTGAGCTTGAAAAGGAAAATTCTGAAAATAGTAAGCAGATCTCAGAACTTCAAGCCAATCTTCGCGGGGTGACAACTCTCTATTTTGATCTAAAAGGCAAATTAATTGGAAAATTTGGTGATGATTTCAAGAGTTCAGTTTCTGATGATGGAAAAGCTTCAGAGACATCTAAAAATAGTCGTGGTTCGTCATGCCCAAGATTCTAAACTTGATCAATTTCTGTGTTTTGACCCTGTCACAGCTGAAGAAAGAAGGGAGAAGCAGAGAAAAGTTGATGAGGCTACAACGACTATCGTAAGGAAGTTGAATGATTTACTATATTGGGTATATGATGAGGCTACAACGACTATCATAAGCAAGTTGAAAAGGGATCAAATTCATCTTCTTAATCCTACGGATTTGCTGAAATTTGATGAACATGACATTCATACTTTATCCCAACATCAGCTTATGGTGGAAAATGAAATGTTTGAAGCTGGTACAAAGGCTTGCACCGGCATGATAGCGACAATCATTGATAAAAGGCTATGGGCAGGAGCGTTAGCTGATTCTGATGTTCAACTTGTGGAGAAGCCATAAATTCAGCCAACAATAAACCAAGGGGGAGATTGTATGGTCATATTTAAATGGTTTATGATGGCTTTCTAGTTTATTATTGTACTTGGTCTTAGGAATGTTTATTGTTAGTGGGCTTATGGTGTTTTCGGTTATGGGGACCGAAATCACTTAGTGATTTCGGTCAGCTTGGGCTTGGGCCTGTTAAGGCTTTGTACTAGGTTTGTATAAATAGCTTTTCAGCCGTTTAGGAGTTCTAGTTGTTGATCATTATTGTATTCGGCTGTTAAGAAGTTCTTGGTGTACCAGACGATTTCATCTAATAAATCATGTGCAGTAAGAGTTATTTGTGTGCTCTTTAATCACTATCTGATTTATATTCCGCATTCTTTAGACAGTTTGATTGATATGATATTGATCTAAGTGTTTTAGGACTTACATTAAACTCCCGATAATCAATACACATCATGTGCGACCCATCCTTCTTTTTCACAAACAGGATCGGTGTTCCCCAGAGGGAACTGCTTGGACGAATGAATCCCCGGTCTAGCAGCTCCTGAAGCTGCGTAGACAACTCCAACATCTCAGGTGGATTTAGACGATATGGCGCCTTGGCTATCGGAGCCGGACCAGGCAATATATCGATACAAAACTCCACTTGTCTCTCGGGAGGCACCCTAAGCAATTCCTCTGGGAATACATCAGGAAAATCTCACACGATCGGTAACCTGCTCATATCAGGCGTGGCCTCCACCCTTGCATCAGAAAAATAAGCTAAAAATCAAGAACAACCCTGCTGAAGGAGTCTCCTAGCCCTTGCAGCCGAACAAAGAGATGGCCCATGCGAGGCTCTCTCTCCATGAATAACCAGTTCTCCCCCACTTGGGGTTCAAACTTTCACCAACTGAAGCTCGCAATCTATTATGGCCCCATTGGGCCCCAACCAATCCATCCCGATGATCACCTTCAATCCTCGCAAAGGAATCGGAACCAAGTCAATTGAAAACCTCTCCCCGAACATATTCAGAACACTCATCCGAAATACGCTCGCTGCGCTCACGGTGCGGTCATCCACAATCTCCACCTCGAGTGGGGAATCCAAAGTTCACTGAGCATCCCGAAACTTCTTGTTGATCGCAAGAGATACAAACGATCGGGTAGCCCCCGAATCAAAAAGAATATGGGCCGACAAACCATTGACCAAAAAGGTCCCTATATAAAATCATAACATCATAAGAATAATAATAACATAAACAAGACAAAAATTGATCACATACCAGTCATGACGTCAGGCGCTGCTCGGGCCTCCTCAGTAGTCAGCTGAAATGTGTGGCTCTTCACAAGAAGAGCTTCCGCCTTGATCGGGCGGCCATCAGTAATCCTCATCATGGTGGGCACATGCTCCTCCTCCTCTAACCAACCTCGGACAATCAACCTTTTTATGACCGTTCTGGTTGCAGTGGAAACAAATCAAGCCCTTCTTAGGGAAATCCTGACTCATATGAACCGGCTGGCCACATACATAACATGCTGAGCCTGCTGCTCGGTAGACTCCACTGTGCGGCTTCCCGCACTTGGCACAATACCCACGGCCCTGCAGGGAGCATCAGACTTCTTAGGCTTCTTGGCCTGACCCACTGCTTCCTGAACTTGCTCGACTTCTGCTTCGTGCTGAGCTCCAACTCAATTTCTCGTTCCTGGGCCTTCTCCACCATCTCATTCAGGGTATTGCACCCCGAGAAGCTCACAAACTCACGGATATCATCCCTCATCATGGAATGATACCTCATCCTCTTCATCTCTTTATCTGCAGCGTACTGCGGGACCAATAGTGCCCTTTCCCAAAACTTGGCGGTGATCTCTATCACAGTCTCGGTAGTCTGCTGTAAATCCTGGAACTCTCTCACCAAACGCTGCACTCAATGGAAGGTGCAAACTCCTGATCAGACCTCCCAACAAACTCCTCCCAAGACATCTGAACCACACCCGCGGATCCCACCTTGCGGGTCACCTCCTCCCACCAATCTCGTGCTCGATCCCTTAGCATACAGGATGCGAATGTAACATCCGGATTCCCAAGTATTCTATGTTATTCATTTATTTTGAGTTTGAGAGAAGGACTCGACGAGTTGACGCCTAGACTCGTCGAGTAGGATCGTGATTTGCTGACTGGATTAATGAAGGGACTCTACGTGTCGATGGGTGGACTCGACGAGTCCGCGCTGTGGACAGAAACCCTAAATCTTTTGGCTTGTGCCCTATTTAAGGGTCCTTATAGCTCTTTGAATGATTTACTATATTGGGTATATGATCAGGCTACAACGACTATCTTAAGCAAGTTGAAAAGGGATCAAATTCGTCTTCTTAATCCTAGGGATTTACTGAAATTTGGCGAACATGACATTAATACTTTATCCCAACATCAGCTTATGGTGGAAAATGAAATGTTTGAAGCTGGTACAAAGGCTTGCACCGGCATGATAGCGACAATCATTGATAAAAGGCTATGGGCAGGAGCGTTAGCTGATTCTGATGTTCAACTTGTGCAGAAGCCATAAATTCAGCCAACAATAAACCAAGGGGGAGATTGTATGGTCATATTTAAATGGTTTATGATGGCTTTCTAGTTTATTATTGTACTTGGTCTTAGGAATGTTTATTGTTAGTGGGCTTATGGTGTTTTCGGTTATGGGGACCGAAATCACTTAGTGATTTCGGTCAGCTTGGGCTTGGGCCTGTTAAGGCTTTGTACTAGGTTTGTATAAATAGCTTTTTAGCCGTTTAGGAGTTCTAGTTGTTGATCATTATTGTATTCGGCTGTTAAGAAGTTCTTGGTGTACCAGACGATTTCATGTAATAAATCATGTGGAGTAAGAGTTATTTGTGTGTTCTTTAATCAGTATCTGATTTATATTCCGCATTCTTTAGATAGTTTGATTGATATGATATTGATATAAGTGTTTTAGGACTTACATTCAACTCCCGATAATCAATACACATCATGTGTGACCCATCCTTCTTTTTCACAAACATGATCGATGTTCCCCTGAGGGAACTGCTTGGACGAATGAATCCCCAGTCTAGCAGCTCCTGAAGCTGCGTAGACAACTCCAACATCTCAGACGGAGCTAGACGATATGGTGCCATGGCTATTGGAGCCGCACCAGGCACTATATCGATACAAAACTCCACTTGTCTCTCGCGAGGCACCCTAAGCAATTCCTTTGGGAATACATCAGGAAAATCTCACACGATCGGTAACCTGCTCATATCCGGCGTGGCCTCCACCCTTGTATCAGAAAAATAAGCTAAAAATCAAGAACAACCCTGCTGAAGGAGTCTCCTAGCCCTTGCAGCCGAACAAAGAGTTGGCCCATGCGACGCTCTCTCTCCATGAATAACCAGTTCTCCCCTACTTGGGGTTCAAACTCTCACCAACTGACGCTCGCAATCTATTATGGCCCCATTGGGCCCCAACCAATCCATCCCGATGATCACCTTCAATCCTCGCAAAGGAATCGGAACCAAGTCAATAGAAAACCTCTCCCCGAACATATTCAGAACACTCCTCCGAAATACGCTCGCTGCGCTCACGGTGCGGTCATCCACAATCTCCACCTCGAGTTGGGAATCCAAAGTTCACTGAGCATCCCGATACTTATTGCTGGGCGCAAGAAGTACAAACGATCGGGTAGCCCCCGAATCAAAAAGAATCTGGGCCGACAAACCATTTACCAAAAAGGTCCCTATATAAAATCATAACATCATAAAAATAATAATAACATAAACAAGACAAAAATAGATCACATACCAGTCATGACGTCAGGCGCTGCTCGGGCCTCCTTAGTAGTCAGCTGAAATGTGTGGCTCTTCACAGCAAGAGCTTCCGCCTTGATCGGGCGGCCATCAGTAATCCTCATCGTGGCGGGCACATGCTCCTCCTCCTCTAACCAACCTCGGACAATCAGCCTTTTTATGACCGTTCTGGTTGTAGTGGAAACAAATCAAGCCCTTCTTAGGGAAATCCCGACTCATATGACCCGGCTGGCCACATACATAACATGCTGAGCCTGCTGCTCGGTAGACTCCACTGTGCGGCTTACCGTACTTGGCACTATAGCCATGGCCCTGCTGGGAGCATCGGACTTCTTAGGCTTCTTGGCCTGACCGACTGCTTCCTGAACTTGCTCGGCTTCTGCTTCGTTTAGAGCTCCAACTCAATTTCCCGTTCCCGGGCCTTCTCCACCATCTCATTCAGGGTATTGCACCCCGAGAAGCTCACAAACTCACGGATATCATCCCTCATCATGGAATGATACCTTTTCCTCTTCATCTCCTCATCTGCAGCGTACTGCGTGACCAATTG